GTAGGGTTTTTTGGCAGACTGTGAGACTACTGTCTTCTTCTTTTACCAAGATGAGCGACGGACAGGAAAAGAAATGCGACAAGATTATTCAGGACAGCGACAAAACAATCGCAATAGTGCCAATGTCTTTGGTGGAGCTCGATGGCTAATCTGCCAAGCATATTTGCATACTCGACGTGAAAACACGAGCGCCATTTCTTACTAAACCACATCGGCTAGGTAAAAGGGGAAAAGTTTGACTACTTCTCCTCTTTTCTGGTAAAATGTTAGGCTCCACAACGAATGGCTACCAAATAAGTATTTATTAGCCAACAAATTTTTTTTCCTACTAAACTATTACTGCTTCAGCCATTCGTAAGTGAAAATAAACAATCAGAGAGTAGGTATGCCACTCAAAAACAAGTCTTACACCTACGCTAGAATTTTTCACCTCAAACCCTCTGTTTGTAATCTATTTTCGTGACTCTGGGAATGTGGGTAAAAAATCCGCGTCACATGCGGAGAACGCCCAGTCTGGGGCGGTGAGGTCGGTTAAGGAAATGGGGAGGGAGAGGGTGTTGGCAGCGGATGCGTTGAGAGAAAACGCAGGCCAACGCCTAAAAAGTACTGCCTAATGGCATGATGGACTGAAGTGCGTAATACGGCTGCGACACATGGAGAGAGTTAGAAGTGCACCGCCAATTACGCAGGTGGCTACTGTGATGGTGCCGTTCAATCAAAGTGGTCTGATTTGAATTGCAAAGGCTAACCTGTGCTGGTGATGCCTTTTCTGTGGCTAATTTGAATAGGCCGCAGCGGGTTGGTATTTATGCTTGCAAGAGAGAAGTGAAGAGGCAATACACACGTTGGGCGTTTGCATTATATTGCAGAAAGCATTCGAGGGAATAATCTTGGTGTTTGCTCTACCAGCCAGCGTGTGCAATCTAATCAGTTCAAGTGGCAGTAGCATTAAAAGGCATGGGAAATGGGGGCAAGGGCCTGTATAAATAGTTTTTAAAACACGATGATCGCATCAGGTGATGCGACCCCTGAAGTTTTTCCCCGCCCACGGTCTCGGCCTTGAGCCATTGTGCAGCACTGACGTGCACAGCAGACGGTAAAACGGGGAGGACGGCAAGTTAAAGTACGCAGCGACACTGACGGGATTGCTTTTAAGGCAGTAGTCAAACCCATGGCGGTAAGCAAATGCATGAAGCAGTAGGAGAGGCAAAATTAAGTAATAAAATAAGCCTAGAAAGTCCTAGGAGCGAAGCAATATAGTGGGTTGGGGGTAGTCTAGGTGACAAATACAAATGAACCTGGCATTCAGTGGATTATTCCTATCCAACCTCTTAAAATCTCTCCAAGGCTAGTCTAAAGACTAAACTTTGGTTTTTGAGAGTTAATTTTCAATGCCAAGCATATTAGTTTACCAACTTTCCATTTCGTGTCTTCCTGAGAAGTTAAAAAAGGGGAAACCACCCTCGTAACACTCGTCCCAAAAATGAAAGCAAAACGATAAACAGTCCTACTTAGTTCTTTGCAAAAAAAGAAGGATCACAGTTGCAGTGAAGTAGAATCATCCGCACACCACTTATGAATAAGTAATGAGGAAAGTTGGGTCTCTAGGCAGCCTACGTGCTATCAAGTCAACGAGTCGGCAATATCACAATCAAAAGGAGACGCTGCAATCACTCTGAAGAAGGAGAGATTATTCTGCTAGGATTATTTCCTCTTATATCATTGCAACTGATTAGTGGTGGGCAAAATTACCTCCCCACACAAGAGCTGGCATGACCTTTAAACTCAAGGATGGCAGGTTTAAACCGAACGAGTAAATATTAACTAATCAGGAGGGGGAATAAAAGGGTGATGTTGAACGCAAATAGTAGTCCTAAATTTCAATAAAAGCACTTAAAGTTGTAAATGTTTTCGCCACCAAAAATAAGCTCCATTAAGCGGCCTTTTCTTCTTCCCAGCATTTTACCTAATACGTAGGTCTTGACACCGGGCATAAAGGAAAAAGTTCAGTTGCAGGATGCAAATGGATCACCATTGAATGCTAGCTAAAACCTGGTAGCATTCATTATTCATGTAAAATTTTTTCCCTTTTTAATGCATAAATTTTGAAACTTATTGGGCAGAAATTGCAACTTTCTTATATAGGTATCGAAAAGCAGGTCTTAACTCACCAATGTACTCTCAACCGAAATGGTAAAGTGGGGATAAGACGAATTCCAGCGTTTGTACTTTGTATCCTCACGACTCCCAGTGGTGTTTACATTAGGTCGGTCCCACTATGCAAATTAACTCCTGGGCGGAAAGCGCGCACAGCCTACATCGTCATGGCACCGAAACATGAGTCATTTCAGCCTGATGTAGATGTCGTGGCATGACTAACCTGTCTTTCTGCCTGAACAAAGCCTTTCACAAAAATGGAGTGGACACATGGCACAGCATTACCGATTGAAAGTGTCCTATCCGTACACTCACTTATAGCCTTCTGATGCTGAAGTGACTCGGCAAAATAGAGAGTGGAGGAAGGAGGGTGGTTAAAATCGATAAAATACATCGACCCGAAATAAAATCGATTATTGATTTGTTTAGAGGAGCGAATGCTATTCACCGACTCTTTGACCCACATTTTGGTTAGATGATGTGGTAACTTCCAGCTTTGTCGTTCTATATTTTTAAGGGCGTTCATTTAACTCCCGACAGTTGGAATGGCATATTTGGATGCTAATTCAGCCACAAGCGCCTAGTAAACAGCGGGAGGGGAGAGGGTCAAAGAGAGGCGGTTGGATAAAAGGAGGAGACGCCTAATTTATAAACGCATTGCCTGAAACATCCTCTCCAGGCACGAACGCCAGATTCGATTCACAATGGCAGTGCGGGAGGCTAATCTAACCTCAGGATCAGCCACAGCTAGCGGCTTCCCTTTGATTAGAAAATAGCATTAATTTTATGATAACTATGATCTTCCATCGTCAAGACCATGATCAATGAACTATTTTATACCCCCTCCAACCATACCTACCTCCCTGCCTACCTGATTCGCTTTGAAGTCGTTCCTTCGAAATTTTTGTAGATGTTTGCCAGACGATGACAATTTCTGGTAATTACTAGTAGGTTGCTTTGCGAAGCACAGAGGGTAAAACAACGGTGTTAAAGATTGAACAGCCAAATTTATGTCTCCAATCTCTAAAAAAACAGTTTTGTTTACAAAGTGAGGTTGGAAATGCTGGTCACCATCAATTTCTCGCAGATACCAGCTGTCACCGCTGTAACAATCATCTCATGTTAGCGGAACGTGTAGAAATTCACACAACAAGAGTCTGTCAAGGCATGGCTTATGCTTCCCTCAAAGCTAGGTAATTGACAGGACTCACAGGGTAACTGCTAACACCTGGTGGTGAAACTATATGGCCTGTTAACAGTGCACTAAGGGTGAAGCTCTAAGGCCACACCAAGGAGGTCAACGGCTCTTCACTTATGAGCGGTGACACCCTGGAACGATCGATCGAATTTGCGATGGGATGGGTACAAAAAGGCAGACTTTAAATAGGTAAGGGCAAATCCAAATTATCTAATAGCTTTATTATCTAGGAGTAGCAATCTCAGCTGCAGGAGGCACGTTTATTACCGGATCCCTCGACTAGGACTAGTTCTTGAGCTATAGAATGGTGATGTCCAATGAGCGCTCAATTTCCCACCTTTAAAAGCGGTGCACGTATGCACGCATGGACGCACGAATGAATATTTGTATGGACGCACCCACGCACTTCGGTACGCACTCGCCACCAGTCTAAAAACCAGAACAGCTGTTTAGTCACTTGGCTAATTTCTATTGGCTTCCAATGGACCAATCAATTCGGTGCGGCCGGTCGTGATGACTGTTCAACTCCTACGTGCATATTTGTAGCGATCAAGTGTCGTGCGGTTCTATTTATCTTTCTGTTCAAGTGTTTCTTTGTTTGCTCTAATGAATAGAGGTAGTTTATCTTAGTTTTCGGACTCATACCTTTGAATTACAAATGGAAGCTAATCAGGCCTCTGCAGGTACTGAACAATCGTCCTACCGATTACATCTGAGGAATGAGAGTGCAGGGCAAATGATGCCCGCGGTGCCCACACTGGTGCTTGAAAACCTTTCCTCTTTCTTACAAAGCTGCTGTGAGAACACACAACCTGCTCACCAGCATCCTCCTAATCACTACCATCAATCACCACTCTCGAAGCCACAAATTGAATGGGTTTATTCGCAACACAATTTCTCTTCTGGTCGATCCCCTGAACTCCTGCGAATGAAGGCAAAGGAGTTAATTCAGCAAGAGAAATGTGATGCGAATTTTACTTATTGCGTCGACCAGCCGTCAAGATTAGTTCGCATTGAATGCCTTAAAGCAGGATGCAAGTGTGTACTCAAGCAAGAACCTGCGTTAGCATTAAAAATCGTCTGTGGAGTGAGCTTGGTTCGAGGCAGCTGGTCGAGCCTTCAACAGCAAAGCTCACATAATCCTCATCACCCTGCGAAGTGGGGATCAATCTCCTCTGCATTTGAGCGTCTCCAATCTAATCGTTTCTCCAGTTCATGTCAGTCTTCGCAGTGTCAAATTTCCTTGGACCAGCCTCTTTCTCCCAATAACAGCAGCGGCAGCAGCAGTTTCAACGACCAAATTCCCCTCATTTTTACCTCGTGTTCACCTTTCTGGTTTGAAATCTTGAAGCAGCGTAATGATGCCTTTCAGGGACCTGATGTACCTTGCTGGAATTCTGGTAAGGCACTGTGGAAGTCCCGGCCATCGATGTTTCTGCTTCGGAAGCAGACCAAGTGTGTCCTTTCCGTGTCTTCAAACGGTTCACGGGGCCCGGTGACTTTGGATTTGGACAATGTAGTCCATCTCCATCCAGGCACTGTCTTGCGGCTGATTGACTGCAAGAGCTGCCGTCTAGTATCTAAAACTAATCCTCAGTGTCCGCCCATGTCCTCTCTCCTTCAGTGCGAGGTGGTTGGGAGTAAGTCTCTGGCGAAGTATGCCTCTTTAGCCAACAATCTTCCTCCGGATGATGCACTTTATTGGTTTGCCAGTGGACCTCGTCTCGTCTACCTCCCCTTGGATGATAAAACGGTGTCATTTTATCCCATTGCAACGCCTCCGCCTAACTCGCGTGACAATAAGAATACTGGGTGGGCCTACTCTGGTGCCCATTCAGTTCTCAATCTTCTCTCTCACTTTCCTCTCCCCCTCACTGTTCGTCCCGTAATGGAGCACAGTCTAGCCAACTGGCTGACCTCCTCTTCTCCATGTATTAGGGATGGTAACGCTGGTCTCCACCTGACCTCCTGTTATCACGGTGATCTTGTCTTTCTAGAACCAATCGCAGATTGTGGCCCTGCAGCCGTGACTAACAGCAACGGTGTAGGCACAGCCGGTGGTAATTCGCGTTTCTTCGTGGTTACTGCCGAGATGCTTTCGCAGCATCGTTTTATCCTCGCTACGCCACAGTCCTCCCAACTACACGCAAGAGAACTGAAGACCCATGCTTCGAGAGTGGCACACTTTCTGGCTGCTTTCCATCCAGCTTGTGGACTGAACTATCTCCTCAAGTACCTGGAGGATGTAACGCATTGCTCCTCAGTTGGGCCACCTCATCGACCACTGACGGAGACTCTTGGACCCTTGGGTGGGGAAGGTACAGTGGCTTCGCACACTGCGGTGGCCAGTATTGCTGCTTCAATGCTCCTTTACCTTGATGCCGATGACAGGGATAGATTTCCTGATCTCCATGCTCTCTACGATGATCTTGATGATATCTATCAGTACGTCAGGACAGGTCGTCTGCCTTCGAAGCAGAGAGGATTAACTCCATCAACTGGCGTGCTTCGAAGCTGCTCCGCTACTCCGGGTCCTGCACCGCGAACGAGATCCCGTCAAGACTATACCATTCCCTACGTTTTTTTCCCCGAGTCCAATTTACACTCCAGTACCAACACACCTACGGTGCAGCAGCAGCAGCAACAGCAACAACAACAGCAACAGCAGCCTCAGCCTCCTCCACCACCTAGGAGGAATACTGTTACCCCTACGCACACCTACGCGTTCCCCAATCCTAGCAAGTATATGTTAAAGTCCGACGTTCCATCACCACTGCCCTTTGCTTCACCTAGTAGGAGACGACAGGCTTACGTCGATTGTGCGCGACTCCGGTCGATAGAGCAGCCCTTTTGCGGTCAACCACCACCGTCCTATTCCATTCTCAATTTCGCAGCGATGAACGAGCGTACAAACAGCTCACCAGATACCGGTTTAGGTGGAGACAGTGGTCAGAGCGGTCAGAGTTTGGTCGTTCCAACAGCAACCACATCTATAGTGCGGTCCTCGTGTCACCAGCTCATCAATTTTTGTGAAAGTGGAGTGAGCAATGAAGGTGAGGTTGCTGTGCCCATGAAGTCGCCCCAGCTCCTTTACCCCAATCTCCGCCGGTTGACAGTGAATTTGAACAAACGCATCCTCTGATGGTGTTGATGCTGAGGATTCGATTGTTATGTGCGCATGTCTTCGTGCAAGCGCTTTGTGTATATTTGGACACTTGTATGTAGCTCTCTCCCTTCTTCACCTTCAAATCCTCATTATTAACTCACTGCTTCTCTCTTCTATTGTTTTAGCACATTGCTAACTTACCGGATCCTTGTGGGATTATTAAGCAGCTCCCCTTTCACCGGCGACTTGGTTCAGGTGTGAATTTAAGTACCTTTCTAGCTCGGATCCTTTTGATAAACGATGAAGTTGCGGATTTCAGATTTGAGTACTAAAGCTTGTTCAGACGTGCTTCTGGGTTAAGTACTGTGTGGCGTGGGGTGAGCTTGATTGTTTTTTTGCCTTCAAGATGTGTGGTCGATGCCTGTCATCGCAACCGGTCACAATGTGTTAAAAGCCTCTGTTGTCTCACGCGTCCTACGTGATGAGGCAGGTCGGTGGATGTGTGTTAAATCACGGTGGGGCGGAAGCACACCTTGTGAGCATGAGTTGGCCGTGGGATTTATGCACGACTTGTGGTGGGTGCGTATCAAGTTCAATGATTACCAAAACTGGGACTGAAAGTCGTTACCTCCTGTGAGGGGGTGGGTGGTGCGGCGTCGCACCTTTCGGTCTCTCCTCCTCCCCTCCACTAGGTGGAGCACCGATGGGACGCTGGGGTCCTCCGGGTTAAGGCCTACCAAGTCTTACATGGGGTCCGATTTCAAGTTCAAATTACCATTGTGAGCGTCGATCGGATTATTAGCCGGATCGGTTGTTTGGCCAGACGTGTTCGGTGCACGGGGTCAAGCCGTGTCTCGCCCTTCGGGGTCGTGACCGAATACACCAACTGATGCATTTGCGATGGATTCGGTTAACCCAACATCGAGGCGCTGTGTCATCAAGGCCGGTGCAGATGGGCCAGAAGGCAGCCGTGAAATGGGAGGAC